CACACACACACACACACACACACACACACACACACACACACACACACCCCTCAGAGAACACCGCTCCCTAAACACCTTCTGGGCCTGGAATAAAATCCTCCCCCCATCTCTTTGAACAAATCTCTCAAACCCCCCCACGAACGTGCGCCCTCACAGAAGCCCAGAAGGACTGAGGCACAGTGAGGCCCGCAGAGCCAAGCACAGGGGAGCCGCAATGCAACAGTGACCGGACGAGAGGACAAGAGCACGGGACAGTCGGAAGTCAATGTTGCGCAATACGAAAGAACGAACGTGGCCGCGTTAGAGACAGGAGAACATGCCTGCCCGCCTCCTTGGCAGGCGGAGGCCACGTGGGAGGAACACATCGATCGGTGCTGCTGGCTTGTCGTGGTCTTCCTTTTTTTCCTTTGGGATGGCTCCCAGAAGGGGGTGGCAAAGACCAGTGATGCACATTTAGGGGCCTAAAGGAAGTTCAGATCAAGAACCAGGGAAACCAGACAGACGGTGACTCCAACGACGGGAATGGAGAACGTTGAAAAAGGGAAACTGAGACCGTAAACCTCTGGTGCCCATGCCTGGCTGGGAAGGGGAGGGCAGAAAAGAGCTGTCAGACTGAGGCGATGCAGAAACATCCGAGATGTGGGGGATGGTGATGCTGAGAGCTAACATTTGGGGAGCACCCACTGTGGCTCCCGGGGGGCCGGCATGGGGGGATGGGACAGGTTCCCCGGCTCAAATGCATCTGTGCCGGGCTTGAAGGAAGGCATCATCGGACTAGGCAGAGATGGAGGCGGAAAGGGCATTACAGGAACCTGGGGCAAGGTGGGCAGAGGGAGCGGCAGGGGGGAGGGAGCATTTATGCAGTACCTACTGTGTGCCGAAGCAAACCCTTTACAATTATCATCCCACTTACCTATCCATTCACTCGTCCTCCATCTATTCACTTCCACTCATCTGTCCATCCGTCCATTCGCTCCATCCATCCTTTCACTCATTCATTCTTCCATTCATTCACAGTTGAACAAAAACATTGGTTGCTAACATTTTTTGTCGTTCAGTCCTTTCAGTCCTGTGCGATGCTTCCTGACCCCACTTGGGGCTTTCTTGGCAGAGATACAGGAGTGGTTTGCCATTTCCTTCTCCAGCTCATTTTACAGATGAGGAAGCTGAGGCAGACAGAGTGGCCTGCCCCCCTCTCACTGGGGCAGCAGAACAAACAGAGAGGGCAGACTGGGGGCCCCTGGTGCCGTCCAGCCCTCTGTCACAAGGGATGGGGGAGGGGAGGGCCCTGACCTCACCTGGGGGCTGGCTGTCCCGAGCTGGGAAGGCCTTGCTTCACCCTCTTTCTCCTCCATGCTGGCGGGGGAAGGTCAGAGTCCAGAGAAGGCTGGGCTGCGGGGGCAGAGGACAATCCTGAGGGCCACGCTGACCACTGAAGACAAGCCCTCCGGAGCTGCTCCCTGAGGTCCCCCTCCCTTCTCCCAACTGGAGCCCCCACCCCCACCAGCCCGACGGAGGGTCAGCACTTGCCCAGAGGGTCCCCAGTGCCTGGAAACCATGCCCTCCATAGGGCCTTTCCTGAGAGCCCCTGCCCCTCAGGCCTACAAAGACCTCCCCCCGGCACACAGTAGGTGCTTTCTTCATTGGGGATTCCGAGGCCGGCATGGCTCAGTACTGATGGGGGGGCGTCTTCCCCTCTGTAGTCAGCCGAGCACACAGTAGGTGCTTTCTTCGTTGGGGATTCTTTTGCATTAGGGAGGGTGGGATCGGCTCAGTAGTGATGGGGGGGGGTCGGTCTTCCCTTCTGGAGTCAGCTCCCTGAGGGCTAGGAGGGGCCGGGCCACCCCAACCCCAACGATGCCCGGCACACTGTAGGTGCTTTATAAGTGCTCTTTGGCTCTGCAGCGGCTGACCAGGGTTCAAGTCCGCTCACCCCATGCCTGCTGCCCCTGTGGTCCTGGGGAGTCACCAAAGAGCCCCCCCACAAAAAAAACCAAAACCTAAACCCAGGGAAGGCCTGGAGGCCGCCCAGTGGAGGGCTGTGGGAGGGCAGTCCAGGTGTGGGGCACGGCTCGGGCAAAGGCAGGGTGGCGGAAGATGGGAGGGGCCAGAGGATCCAGGACCACCCGGGCTGGGCTCTCGGACCCAAGCCGGGTGGCCGGAGAGGATCCGGTCAAGGGGAAACTGAGGCCCGATGGGGCCCAGAGAAGAAGCGGAAGGGTCCTCCGGCAGACACTGACCAGGAGGGCCGGACCCTCACAACAGCCCTGGGAGGGGCTACTCTGGGGTCAAAGGGGTGGCCCAGGGGCCAGGAGGGGAGGTCGTGTCCGGCCGCCACGCCCACCCGAGCCTGGCGGCTCCGCCCGCGGCAGCGCCAAGCTCTGCGCTGTGGTGCCCCCTCGCGGTGCAAGGGGAGCCAGGGAAGGTTCTTGAGCAGGGGAGGCAGCACAGCACAAGGACAGGCCCCGCCCTCCAGCGGCCGCCTCCCAGAAGGCACCGCGCCCACGCTCACTCCCACGCCCCGGCCCCGCCCGCACTCACCTCCCTACGCTCCCAGGACCCAGGGGCGGTTAACGTTGCTCAGGTCGCGCGAGCCCAGGACGCATGCGCATTCCTCCCCTCGACTGAGTCTGCGCGCAGGGAATGCCTGAACTACACTACCCAGGATGCAATATGGCACCCGAGGCCCACGTGGGAAATGGAGCCTGGCCACAGGATGACGACACCAGAACGGAGACCAATATAGACTATGCTGGGGCCGCAACCCTGAGCCGCGTGTGCGCAAGCCTCCCCTCTCACTCAGTTTCATATATGAAACCGGGTCAAGGTAGGAGGGCAGAACGGGCGGGGCCATAGCCACTGCGCCTGCGCACGCTCCTTCTGGGCCTCCTCCCAGTAGGGATAGGTGTATGTGACACGGCAAGGAATGCTGGGAAGTGGAGTCCGCCCTACTCCGTCGCTTTTCACTCCGGAGATGGCTGCGGCCCGGGAGCGAGGCGCGGACTCGCTCCTTGGACTGTGACTGGTGTCTTTATTGGAAGCCGGTTTCCTCCGCTTCCACCACCGCCAGACGGAAAGGAGAGCCACCCTCGGTGAGCTTCCACTCCAGCCGAGGAGGGTCACTGAGAGTCTCCCCCCCACTTCCTTGAGCGAATGGCCCATGGGGGCGGGACCGGGGCTCTGTCCAATCAGAATTCAGCCCCGAGGCCCCGCCCTCTCCTTCTGGGGCACGGCTTCCGCTAAATCAAATCAACTTTGATAGCCCCGCCTCCTCAGCAGCCCCGCCCCCGCGGGCGGGGCGTGGCCATTGAGGGCTGTTCCCAGAGCCTCCATTTAAGGAGCGGGCCAGTGCGGGTGACTCATTTCCCACCCGGCCGCAGGACTGTGTGGTACCCCCCAGCCCGGCTGGGCTCGGCTGGGCTCGGCTCGGGCGCCTTCCTTCTCCCGCCTTTCACCTTCTTTTTCTGTCTTCTCTTCCCCCACTGGAGCAGGTGTGCCTTGAGGACAAGGGCTGCCTTTGCCCTCCTTCCTTCGGGATCCTTTCAGCACCTAGGACAGCGCCTGGCACGTGCGGAGTGGGCAGAGGCGGCCAGACTCGAGATTCAGCTAATAATCCCGTGTTCGTGTCTTTACTCGGGGTATTGCTGTGCATCAGGACTCTGGAAGAGGGAGGGAGGCAGGCGGCTTTGTGAAACTGCCTCCCTTCCGTCCAGCCGTGGGCAAGTGAAGATGCGGCCGAAAACGAAGGCCGAGCGAGGCACCTGCTGCGTGCCGGTCATCAGGGATGCAAGGATGGACAAGTGGAACAGCCCACATTCTGAGGGGGGTAGCCTGCGGGCACAGCTGGAGTCACATCTGGGCAGCAGGCGTTTATTAAGCGCCGACTTCGTCCCAGGCAACGTGCTAAGTGCTGGGAATTCAAGACAGGCCTGCCCTCGAGGAGCTCCCAATCTAATGGGGGAGACAACATGCACACAACCATGTGTATATTAGTACATTCCACTACTGTGAAGTAGCCGAGCTCTGGGACTCGAGTCAGGAAGACCTGAGCTCAAATCCGGCCTCAGACACTTCTTGGCCGCTTGTATGTGTGGGTCACTTTGGCCAAGTCGCTTCACCTCTGTGTACCTCAGTTTCCTGAACTGTAAAATGGGAATAATCACAACACCCATTTCCCAGATTGGCTGTGAGAGTCAAATGAGATAATGTTTGTAAACCGTTTGGCACTACACAAATGCTAGCTATTATTATTTATAAAGCAGCTCTATACAGCTGATAGCATAGTTGGTGATAATCGATGGAGGGAAAGCATTAGCATTAAGGGGGAATCAGGAAAGGCTAAGGGCAGCTAGGGGGCTCAGTGGATAGAGTGCCAGGCCTGGAGTCTGAAAGATTTGTCTTCCTGAGTTCAAATCTGGCCCCAGACAATTACTAGCTGTGTGACCGTGGGCAAGTCACTTAACCTGTTTGCCTCAGTTTTCTTGTGTGTAAAATGAGCTGGAGAAGGAAATGGCAAACCACGGCAGTATCTTTGCCAAGAAAATCCCAAATGGGGTCACCAAGAGTCAGACCCAACTGGAAGGATTGAACGACAATAGGAAAGGCTTCCTGTAGAAGGTGGGATTTTAGCTGAGGCTTGAAGGAAGCCAGGGAAGCCAAGATGCAGAGGTAAGGAAAAACAGCAGGAATGGAGGGATCAAGCAAAAGTTGCTTGAAGGTGGAGAAGATGTGGGTGTGCTTTAGGTGGGTGGGAAGCAACCAGTAGACAGGTTGATAAGTGACAGAACTGGGGTGACAGAGGGGAAACAATCTTCTGGAGAAGATGGAAGGAATGGGGTCACTTGTGCATGAGGAGGGTTTAGTTTTGGCAAGGAGGAGAGCTACCTCTTCATGTGAAACGGGTGAAGGAGGAGAGAGGGACATTTCTAGGTGATGTGAGAGGAGGAGGAGGAGGAGGAGGGGAGAAGAGGGAGCTCTTGGTGAATTGATATCAGTTTTTCACTGAAATATGAGGCTAGGACAGGGTGCATTGAGCAGGAGGACAAAGAATCCTCCCTGTTGCACCCAGAACCTCTTTCTTCACCGTCTTGAGAGTCAGATTTATCCTTTTCCTTCAGTTTGTTTTTAAAGTGGAGATCAATCTTTGGTCCATTGAGGGTGGTAGCAGTATCTGCTGGTCTGCTCCCATTTTCTGCCAGTCTGCTGTCCAGTTTTCCCTGCACAGTAGATGTCATTCCTGCCCTCCCAAGTCCCCCCTCCCCATTGTATCCAGTGGCCCTTCCAGGTTCCAGACCCCAGGAAATCTGGGAAGGGGCAGGACTGCTTCTGACCACATGGAATGAGAGATGAGCCTAATCGACTGCTGAACCTGAAGAATAAATGATTCTGGGGGAAAAAACCCAATATGCTCCTACCTCTCTCCCTTACTTTCTGACTGGGAAACGTGCTGTATTCAGCTGAGTCTGGGGAGCCTAGGGGCCCAAGCCTGTGTCCCCTTCAGCTTCCAAGCAGCCATGAGAACCTGGCTGCCTCCGTTGTCTCCTTTTCCCGATCTTTGACAAACAAGTATCCCGCAGTGGATGTGTCCAGGACTGGCAGCAACCTTGGGAATTCCAAAAGGTCCAGAGGTCCTGGGGGGCCCGAGAATGATGTAGTCACCTTGAACAGCAATAGCTGGTGGCTGGGAGAGCATTGGAAAATCACAAGAGGAGTGGCCTGAGCCTGACTGGTTGAGCCCCACAAAAATGCCAGGTGTGGTTGGAGTAATGTTAAGTTGAGGTGAAATCATAACCTAATTAGGAGCATTGCCAACCTGTTATGTTTTGAGCTGCTCGGCCAGTTATTAATCAGTAATTACTCTGTTAACCCTGCTTGTGGTTCTTTCAATGCTTAGAATCTTTCTGTGTAAGAATAAAATACCTGTGCCACACCTGATTCTTGCCATGTGTCTTTTCCTACCTTATTTTTTTTAGGAATCTCTTAGTTTTGAGCCATAATTTTTACTATGTAGTGAACCATTTTGAGTAAAACCCTGAAAAAGAGTCATCTGGGGCCTGGGAGGGGCGGGATGGTGGGGGAGTGGAGGGAAATGACTGATGCACTTGGACCTTAACTTCCTTGTCTGCAATATGAGGCAAGGACAGGTAAGAGGGTTGGCCCAGAGGATCCTACGTAAGCCATCGCTGTGGCAAGTCAACCCTTTCACACCTTCCTAATCAACGGACTCTCCCCCTCAACACAGCAGCTCTTCCAACCTCCTTGTCCCTCCTCAAACCTCCCCTAGCCCCTGCTCCCTCCATCCTCTCAGCCAAAAACCTTATTTCATATTTCACTGAAAAAAATGTGGCTCTTTACTGAGAGCTCTCTCTTGTGTCTTCCTCTTTCTCCTCTCACCCAGATGACTTCCCCTTCTATCTTCTCCTTCAGATGAGGAGGTAAGCCTACTCTTTGCCAAGGCAAACCCCTCTACATTCCAGCAAATTGCCTCTTCCATTACCCCCGATCTCTCACCAATCTTCTGTGTCTCCTTGTCTATTGGCTCCTTTCCTACTGCCTGCAAAGACCCATGACCTCCCCGTTCTCAAAAAAACCCTCATATGATCCATCCATCCCCACTAGCTATTGTCCAGTATCTCTGCCCATTTGTGGCTGAACTCCCAGAGAAGGCTGGCTACAATGGGGGCCTCCACTTTGTTCCTTTTCCCTCTCTTCATTTTCTAAAGAATGGCTTCTGTATGGCTTCCAACCTCACCATTCAACTGGCACTGTCCTTTTCAAAATTACCAACGATCTCTTAATTGCCAGGTTTAATGGCCTTTTCTCAAACATCCCACACTTCACCTCTTTGCAGTCTTTTCCCTTCTCCATGATGCTCTCTTCTCTCTAGGTTTGTGAGTCACCAATCTCTTCTGATTCTACTGTAATTCTACTGAGTGCTCCTTCCCAGTGTCCTTTGCTGGATCTTCATCTGGGTCACATCCTCTAAGCATGGGTGTCCCAAAGGGCTCTGCTGTGGGCCCTCTTCTCTTCTCTCTCTACTATTTCATTTGGTGATCTCATCAGTTCCCATGGATTCAATAATCTCTATGCAAATGATTTCCAGATCTATTTGTCCAACCCTAACCTCTCCTCTGACCTACAGTCTCACATCAGCTGCTTATTGGACATCTTGACCTAGATGTCCCATGAACATCTTAAATTCAATATGCACAAAACTGAATTCACATCACACACACACAAGCCCTCTAGTCTTCCTACCTTTCCTATTATTGTGGAGAGTGACACAATCCTCCTACTCACTTAGACTTGAAACTGAGCTATCATCCTTGATCCCTCATTCTTAGAACCCCCCATACTCAAGTAGTGACCAAGTCCTGTCATTTCTACCTTCATAAGATCTCTTCTATAAGCCCCCTTCCTTCCTCTGGCACTGCCACCACCCTGGTGCAGATGCTCTTTACCTGTCTGAGACTGGATTTGAACACAGGAAGATGAGTCTTCCTAACTTCAGGCCTGGCACTCTATCCACTGCACCACCTAGCTGCTCCTTAAAAGCAATAGATATCAATAAAAATGCTATTATAAGAAAGGGGGAGAGATTCAGTGGTTTTGCCACAAAGAATTTTTTTTGTGAAATTGTCGCTTAATTCACCATACCATGTGCAGCATGCCTGTTTTTTACCATAGCAATGACAGCATTGAATTTTATCACTTTGAAATATCTTTGCTGATTTAATGAGTATAGCAGATTCATTTGAATTTCTTAAATTAATAAAGATTTTGTATACCTTTTCATTCAAGTGTCAACATTGGGTTCCCCTTTATGAAAAATGCCTAATTACATCTTTTGATAATATACCTAATAAAGTAGGGTACTCACCGGTATAACTTTCTATAAGGCCCTTATCAATTTTGTATGTCAGACCTTTACAAAACATAAGGAGGAGATAGTGAGCTCTGACATAGAATAACTGTGATATAAAAATAAGAGGCATCAATAAACGTAATCCCAAAGATGAATCTTTAAATGGGAGAAGCAAATATTTAATGAAAGAATTCTCCCCCAAATACCGGGGTTTCTGTGTTTATTACTGTTTTAAAAGCAATTTATGGGTGTGGGGTTGAAATTTCTTAAGCTCTTATTTCTCCATTTGAATATTAGAACATTTCAACGGGACTTAAAAGCTAATTTTTAAATGCTCAAATGGATCTTTGATCTCATCAGTATAGGTGTTCCTTCCAGTGAGGATAACAATGCTTTCAGTCTTGCCCATCCTGGACAACTTCCATCCATGTTCTCCTAAAAGTGAATCCACCCAAAGCAGCGAAGCCTTCCTCCCCTTATACTCATATAGAGAGGGTACCCATGGAGCACTCTTCCTGTCTATGCAAAACCCGACTCTTTCAATGTGACCAGCCCATCTCTACCTATTAGATATTTCCTTGATGACACCCTTTACTTTTGTTCTCCTTCAGAGTTCCTCACTGGCACTTCTACCATGTACCTTTCTGTGGTCCTCTGTGTGATGCTCTTTAGTTCTTTAGAGGCAGTGATGTTCCAGGTCTCACTACCACATGGTAACACTGGTATAATAGTTACACTTGAAAGATAGACCTTTGCTTTCATGGGGTCATAAAAGAGCTCTGTACCTTCCCCAAAGAAATCTAGTTTGCTCTCCTTTTCAACTCTGAGTCCAGTTCATTGTCCATCTGTATGATCTGTCCCAGACAAAAATACTTTTGTACAAGCTCTATAGGGTATCTATTCAGATGCATGCTGAAATCTGGATAAAAGGCATTTTTCATCCACTTGTTCTTTCCTGTGTAGATGGACAAGCCGAACTACTTTGAGTGATTATAAAGCTCTGTAATGTCTTGGAGCTCGATCTAATCAACAGTGTCACATCCACTAACTGTGGGCTCCCCCAAAGTTTTGTCCTGGGGCCTCTTTTCACTTGACACTGTCTCACTTGGTGATCTCATCAGTTCTCATGGGTTCAATTATCATCTCTAAGCAAATGATTTCTTGTTCTACATATCCAACCCCAAACTCCAGTCCTATATGGACAGCTGCCTCTTAAACATCTCAAACTGAATTCCATAAGCACCTCAAACTCAACATGTCCCAAACTGAACCCATGATCTTATCCTCCAAAGTCTCCCTTTGGTAATTCTTGTATTGTCAAGAACACTACCAACTTCCCATCACCCAGACTCAAAAACGTGGTGGTATCCTCAATGCCTCTCTCACTCCACATATGCAATCTTAGGCCAAATCTTGTCATTTCTCCCTTTATAGCCACCACCCTAGTTCAGGCCCTCATTGCCTCTCACCTGGGCTAGTCCAAGGGTCTTATAACTGTTCTCCTTACACAAGTTCCTTCCAACTCCAATTAGTCCTTCATCCAACTGCCAAGGTGATTTTTTTCAAGTATAGGTCTGACCATGTCATCCTCTTTCTCAATGACCTCCAGTAGTTCCTTATTACCTTCAGGATCAAATACAAACTCCTTTTTTTTTTGGAATTTAAAGCATTTTGTAACCCAGCCTTTTTCTAACTCTGCAGACTTCTGACATTTTACTTCTCCTCACCTCTACGGTAATACTGGCCTCAAGCACAACTATTCCTCAAATATGTGACACATAATCTCTCATTTCCATGTCTTTGCACTCATTTTTATTCATGCCTGGAATGCTCTGCCCACTCACCTCCACCTCAATTTCCCTGGCTTTTCCAAGACAGCTCAAATCTCACCTTTTACAGTGGGCCTTTCCCAATCCCCCAATGGCTCGTCCTGTCTTTGTTCTCTTAAATGTCATTTCTATATCCTTTAAAAGTAACTCAGAGATTGTTATGTTGGAGTCCAGATGTGGAAATTCTACTCTTCTTGGCAAAAGTTTGCTGCATCTTCTGTTTGTAGTTCTCTTTCCGTTTTCACCTTTTAGTGATCCTTGGGGTGATTTTATTTAGTCAGGCATATTACCCAGCTTTCTTTAGTTTTATCTACCACTGTTCCTCTGTTCTGCTAGTTTGGCAAGAGTTTGGCAAGTATGTCAAATATTTGCTTTTGAGCAAATATTTTGAGCAAAATAAGGAGCTTTTGAGGATATTGGTCTCCTTTTGCCAATTAATTGATGTTGACCTAACTTCTGGAAATCATTATTATAGTCAGTGCTGGTATATTTGTTTCCATTTCCCATTTAAAAATTTTCATTTGCTTGCTTAAATCTTTTAAAATATTGTGCCATACATTTTCTCATTATTATTATTCTGTTTGATTATAAATTGCAATCTTCACTCTCAGATGGTTTGAAAACTCTTACATCAGTAATAAATCTTTTCCTGCCTGTTAAAATATATTCTGTTGTATTCTTTGTGATACTGTTTAGTACTCCCCAGGTCCAGCTCCACTAGAGAAAATGTTCATTTTATGTTGGTGTGAGGTTTCTGTATAATCTACCACACTTCGGTCTCTCTAATTTCTTTCCCCTGAGACATACTTGTCCATATAGTTCTCCCCATCCAAACTTTTCCCCAAGTTTGCACTGAAGTCACTAAGTATCAGAGTTAATTTCATTTGTAGGGTCTTAACAAATTTATCTACCCCTTCATTTAGAAACTGTTGGTGTATAAATTGAAATTGTTTTAATGCTGGTTTTTGGAGGGGAAATATTTTATCACTGGCAATACATGGTGACCAAATGTCCCGTGAAATAATGTTTCTTGTAGCTTTGAGTCATGTGGTAAAACCCATTCTGCCAACTTTCTTTGCCTCTCCATGAAGTACATGTGTGCCATCATTTCATTCAGTTGCAACCTACTTCTTTCTTCTGGTTTTGTGAATACCAACCATGTGAACATTGATATGATTTAGGTTCTCTAGCAATTATCATTTATTAGTCATTAGGCAGAGGTCTTACGTATTTTCAATATAACATTTTTAAAAGGTAGTTTAATTATTATTTAACATCCTGCATCAGCCAAACTTGACTCACTAAATTGCGCAACTCTACTGCTCCCTGATGGCATTCAAAGGGGACTACAGTGAGAAGCAATCATGGAAGATGCAGTCATTTTTCTCTCTAAATATCACAAAATATTGTGACAAGTAATGAACTCAATCATCTTGACCCTCTAACAAATGGCAAGTTGTTCTGATGTTTTCCTATCATTGTTTCATCACCGCAGTCCATCATGAAATCAGTGACATCTGATGGTGAATTATACCCCAATGTTCCCATGGCCATTTGCATTCATAATCTTTTTTCCTGTCAATTCTGCAATACATCCCAAGGGCTTGGATAGTGTTAAAGAGTTTCTCACTTTAATTACATTTATAGACTTTAGTTACATTTATAGAGTTTCTCACCACTATGTCCTCCCTAGCTGAAGGTTTTGATATATTCATTGCTTTTGTGTATTTTATCTCAAATACAAGAATTCTGAGAATACGAAGAATAAAGACTGTCTAAAGGCTTTCCCACATCACTTACAGTGAAAGACTTAGGCTACAGCAGGAATTTTCTTAGGTTTACTAAGTTTTATTTTAAATTGGAAAGCTTTTCTACCTTAATTACATTAACAGGAATTCTCCCCCATATGAATTCTTTCATGCCCACTAAATGATGATTTATGGTTGAAATTTCGTTTTTACATCCTGTACACTCAGTGGGCTTCTAATATGAATTTTAAAAATATATTCAGGAAGTTGGTCCTTTTAAAAGGCTTTTTCAAAGTTATTACATGCAAAGCATTTATTTCCAGTGTGAATTGCCTGATGGAAGCTATGTGATGTTATCTGAATGAAGTCCCCCTGCCCCATATTCTCTGAATTAAAAGGGTTTCTTTTCCCTATGAATTCTCTGATATTGAAGAAAATGGTTCTTTCAAGTGAAGGCTTTCCCAATGTCATTACAGTCAAAGGGTTTAACTCGTATGAATTTGCTGATGTGAAATAAATGATGACCTCTGACTAAAGTTCTTCCCACATTCATGACATTCAAATGGTTTCTCTCCAGTATGAATTCTCTGATGTGAAATAAGTGTTGCTTTACGACTAAAGTTTTTCCCACATTCGTGACACTCAAAGGGTTTCTCTCCAGTATGAATTCTCTGATGTGAAATAAGTGATGACCTTCTGCTAAAGTTTTTCCCACATTCGTTACATTCAAAGGGTTTCTCTCCAGTGTGAATTCTCTGGTGTGAAATAAATGATGACCTCTGGCGAAAGCTTTTCCCACACTCCTTACACTCAAAAGGTTTCACTCCAGTATGAATTCTCTGGTGTTCAGTAAGGTGAGATTTGCTGTAGAAGGCTTTCCCACATTCATTACATTCAAAGGTTTTCTCTCCAGTATGAATTCTCTGATGTACAGTAAGGTGGGATTTGCTGTAGAAGGCTTTCGCACATTCATTACACTCAAAGGTTTTCTTTCCAGTATGAATTCTCTGATGTATAGTAAAGTGAGATTTGAAACAGAAGGTTTTCCTACATTCAGTGCATTCAAAGGGTTTGTCTCCATTATGAATCCCTTGATGAGAAATTAATGTTGACTTCTGGCTGAAGTTTTTCCCACATTCATTACACACAAAGGGTTTCTCTCCAGTATGAATTCTCTGATGTACAATAAAGTGCGATTTGAAATGGAAGGCTTTCCCACATTCAGTGCATTCAAAGGGTTTCTCTCCAGTATGAATCCCTTGATGTGAAGTTAGTGATGATCTCTGAGTAAAGTTCTTTCCACATTCATTACACTCAAAGGGTTTCTCTCCAGTATGAACTCTCTGATGTTTTATAAGTGATGATCTCTCACTAAAGTTTCTCCCACATTCATTACAATTAAAGGGCTTCTCTCCAGTATGTATTCTCTGATGTACAGTAAGATGGTATTTGTCATGGAAGGCCTTCTGGCATTCATTACACTTGAAGGGTTTCTTTCCTGTGTGAATTCTCTTATGTTTGTTCAGCTGACTCTTCCACATGAAGACTTTCCTGCACTCAGTACATTCAAAGGGTTTTTTTCCAGTATGAATTCCCTGATGTGCTACAAGTGACAACCTCAGGCTGAAGTTTTTTCCACATTCATTACACTTAAAGGGTTTTTCTCCAATATGAGTTTTCTCTTGTTCAATAAGTTGGTCCTTCTGCATGAAGTCTTTCCCAGAGTTATTATATTTAACGTGCTTCTCTCCACTATGAGTTCTTTGATGAAGAGTAAGTGATGTCCGTTGGCTAAAGTTTTTCCCACACTCATTACATTCAAAGGGTTTCTCTCCAGTATGAATTCTGTGATGTGAAATAAGTGATGGCCTCCAGCTAAACTTCTTCCCACATTCATGACACTCAAAGGGTTTCTCACCAGTATGAATTCTCTGATGTTTAATAAGTGATGATTTCTCACTAAAATTCTTCCCACACTCAATACATTCAAAAGGCTTCTCTCCAGTATGAATTCTCTGATGCTTGATAAGTGATGACCTTAAGCTGAATTTTTTCCCACAGGCAATACACTCAAAGGGCTTCTCACCAGTGTGAATTCTCTGGTGTTGAGTATAGTGATATTTGTTGTAGAAGATTTTCCCACATTCATTACACTCAAAAGTTTTCTCTCCAGTATGAAGTCTCTGATGTACTGTAAGCTGAGATTTGTTGTGGAAAGCTTTTCCACATTCACTGCACCCAAAGGGTTTCTCTCCACTATGAATGCTCTGATGTAAAATAAGTGATGATCGCAGGCGGAAGTTTTTTCCACATTCATTACATCCAAAGGGTTTCTCTCCACTATGGATTCTCTGATGCTCATTAAGTTTACATTTCCATTGAAAGGCTTTGCCACATTCGTTACACTTAAAGGGTTTCTCTACGGTACGAATTATTTCATCTTCAGCAACATTTCCCCTTTGGCTTATGAATTCTTTTTCACAGTTCTCAGATTCCAAATGATTTTCTCCAACATGAATCCTCTTGTGCTTATCAAGTTGACTCTTCCATCTGAAGGTTTTTCCACATTCATTACACTCAAAGGGTTTGTCTCGTGTATGAATTCTCTGATGTAGGATAAGGTAAGATTTGTAATGGAAGCCTTTCCTACATACATTACATTCAAAGAGTTTCTTTCCACTGTGAATTCTCCAATGTAAAATAAGTGATGATCTTAGGCTAAAGTTTTTCCCACATTCATTGCACTCAAAGGGTTTATCTCCAGTATGAATTCTCTGATGGTCATTTAGTTTACATCTCCTTTCAAAGTCTTTGCCACATTCATTATAATCAAAGGGTTTCTCATCAACCTGAACTCTCTGGTGTATAGTAAGAGTTTTCCTAAAATCATTAGAAAGATGTAGTTTATTTTTAGCCTGAATTCTCTGATGATCATCAAGGCTTCTCAACTGTCTAATGGCTTTTCCACATTCTTTTGAGTTATCACCAGTAGTAATTCTCTCACAACGCATAAGGGGTGCATTGTGGCTGAAGGCTTCCCCAAATTTGCTGACTTTACAGCATTTCTTGCCAGTGTGAATCCTCTGCATAAAAGCCAAGAATTATTACTGAAGGCATGCTTGAATTTGATACATTCACATGATTTCCCTCAAGTTTGAACTCTCTAATGTACATGAAGACTTCCCTACTGAATAAAGACTTTTGTATATTCACTTAACATTTTTTTAGGGGCTAGGTAATGTGGTTGAGTGACTTGCCCAGGGTCACACTGCTAGTAAGTGTCAAGTGTCTGAGTCTCGATTTGAACTCAGGTCCTCCTGACTCCAGGGCCAGTGCTTTATCCACTGTGCCACCTAGCTGCCCCACATTCACTTAACATTTAGAGTTTCTCCCCAGTATGTATTCAAATTGTAAGAATTTTTTTTTCTCTAAGACTTTTCCATACTCATTATGTTCATCCTGCTTTACTCTAGTATTTAATTATGAAATGGAAGATAATTCAAGTGGTAATGGAAGAAATTCCTACACATTTTCTCTACAAAGCACCGTCTCCAAGGATGTTCTATTACATTTAGTTTAATCTGAAGACTTTGTAGCACCTACTGAACATACCATATTTGTGGTGACTTGTTCCTGTAGTAACTCTGTGTTATATAGACCAATGACTGATGATCCCAAACTGAAATGCCTATCAAATTCATTAAACTCATCTTATTAAAAGTGTCACCTTGAGAGAATGTTCCTCATCTGGGCCATCTCATCCACTCCCTACTCTCCTCCCTTCTCTAACCTGACCTCACACATCCCATCTTCTCCCACTTGGCAATCTCGGGGACCCACCTTTTGCAGTCTTTCCTTAGAGGATGCTTTCATGCAAATGCCCTGACTCAGAGATTGGTCCTCAGGGATACGCCGCCTTTTCTGAAGAAGGGAGCCTGAAGGGAAACATATGACAATATCCACTGTTGTTTATGCTAGGAAAAGGAAAACTTTTATATTAGGTTTGAGATTCAATTTGTTTCAATAAGAAGATTGATGACTAAAGTGCAAAAGACACACCAATGATAAGGGAAGGTGAAATCCAAGCTTGCTAAGAAATGAATCCGAGAAAGCACGTCAATATGCCAAGTACAGTGCTAGGGGCTAGGGACACAAATTACAAAAAAAGCAAGATAGTATTTGCCTTCAAGCTGCTTGCCATTCTAAGAGAGCATGTATAGTGGAGGGACAGCAAGGGTGAGGCCATCCCTGAGAAATCATGGCGATAGCAAGTGGAGCCATAAGAGAAGTTGACTGATATCTGTCCTTTCCAGGAATTGTAGGCTTAATTTAATTACTATTCTCAGAGCTAGACATGAAAAAGGAAGGATACACATGAGATGACATCTTATAAAGATAGCTAGAACAGCAATAAGGAGCGTGATTGGTCTGGGTGAGACCTGGATGCCACACTACCCACCCAACATGGACACAAATCTGGAGGCTTGTGTTATTATTCCACTCCTGACTCTAGCCTAGCCAGATGGAAAGAATATCCTTCAATAAATCTCTTTTAGACATTTGAGTTTTCCATGTAGGCTTCCTTCTCCTCACCGTAGATTCTGGGTTACTATATAATCACTCATTCAGAGAAAGCCCTCGCCTGACTCTTGTCATCACTTGCAAGTCAAGACATCGCCCTGCTGATGTCATTGGTCTTCTTTGAGAATGAAGGATGGACAACAGCAGCATTCAGGGAGGCATCTGCAGCCAAATGAAAGCCCTGGGATGTGACCGAGTCTCCTCATTTTTAAATTTCTCAAGCTCAGAGAACCTTCGCTGTAATTGTGGCAATGAGCAGACTTAATTTAGTTGGGAGGTGTGGAAGACGGCTATCATTTCCTCCCATAAGTCTTCTCTTCTGCACACTGAAGAGCCCTGTTCCTTCAGCTTATCATACGGCAGGACATCGAAGCTTGAATAGATAAGTGGCCAGATGTCATAAAGTATAAAACAAGAAATACACATCTGTTTCATCCATCCCCCAGGCTCAGGCCCTTTGGGGAGAACCCCCTGGCTAACATTTCGAAGGTGTTGCCAATGGAGTTATTGCTTCCATCTGCCTGCTCCCTTGTCACACACTCACCTGGGCCAGGTTCTCTTAGAATTTCTCCCTTGGGAATCCATGGTGCTTCTCCTTTCTCCAAACGGGAGATCACATCTGGTTTCAAAACTGGAAGTCCTGATCACGGGGAGAGAAACAAAGATATTCTGGGGACAGAAAACCATCTCAGAATTCCATCTCGGTCCCTCTCTCTCCAGGGAAAAGAGGTCATGCTGAGAGGGCCAAGAAGACAGGGCTCATCCCCCTCTATGGGGATGGAGCCGAGATCTAATTGAGACTCAGAGAGACCACTGATTCACTGGCCCCATCACTGCCAAGAGGAGAGGACCTCCTCAGATCTTCAGGCCCCATGAGCCCTGGCACAGCAAGAACCTTTGACCTGGGGAAACAAAAAGTTGGGAAACCAGACCTTCAAGACCAGGATAATGAAGCCACAGGATGTGTTTCTGTGAAAGGCCAAGACCTTTCACCAGGGAACAGAGAACAGAAACACTGCTTCCAGAATTTCCTCTCTGTTGATACTACACAAAAATCTCAAACTCAGGAGACCTCTTCTGTCATTTTCTCTCAGTTTTCACTGAGTGAGAAGCAGAGACACCCAGTGATCAGAGCCCACCTCCAGGGACAGAGGGGTGTCCTTACCCAGGGAGACGAGGTTCTCAAAGTTCTCCAGCATCACCTCCCTGTACAGGGCCCTCTGAGCAGGGCCCAGCCTTCTCCACTCCCCTTGGGTGAAGTCCACGGCCACATCTTGGAATGTCACCAATTCCTGAAACATCAAACACATCTCTTCTTACCCAAGGACCTTCTCACAGTTCTTAGGGGGAGATACGGAGTTGACAAGGGGAAATCTGGAGACAGCTTCTTAAAGAAGTGAGTTTTAAGCATTTCATGGCAGGTATTGATTCAGTCCCTACAAATACCACATGTCTCATTTTGTACTAGACTCAAAGGAACAGAAACGGTTCTTCATTGTTCAATTTAATCTGGAAAAATCATCTCCCAAAGTGGTGTCCTAGCAAATCATGCCCTTTACTCTCAAAGAACCAAATTAATCAGTCAGAACCATTGGCTTCTATCTTCTAGTTAGGCACACAATGCTAACATCAGCAGTCATACTAAATGTATTAATTCCTTATTAGCTACACTGAAGTAATCATTCTTCCTTACTAATCACCCTGTTCTGGGAAGATTTGTTTTTTCATATATATTTTTAAAAAAACCAGCACACCCCAGTGGTGTTCTGTAATGTGCCTCCTCTTCTCCAGCCAGTAAGATGACCCGGCTCTGACTGGACACTGTTCCCTTTGTACTATGTGGGACTAGAATAAAATTCTCCCCTATTTGTTTGAACAAATATTTGCTAAAAACCTACTGTGTGCATGCACTGTTTCTGGAGCTGAATGAAATGCAACATTGCAGAAAACACGGCCCTTGCTTTCAAGCAGCATATACTTGGGAGTGTCGGGGCACGCCAAACACAGAAGCAACTGTAATACACCATTACTGGTCTAACAAAAGTATAAAGTGTGTACCAGGAGAACATCATACGCAATAACAGCCACATTGTGCGATGACTAATATTGATAAACTTAACCCTTCCCAGCAATACAAGGATCTAAGACATCTCCAAAGGCCTCATGATGGAAAATGCTATCCACACCCAAACAAAGAACTATGGCATTTGAATGCAAATCGAAGCATACTATTTGCTATTTTTTTTCTTCTGTTGAGTTTCGTTTCCTCTTTCTGGTGGTTCCTCCTATTGGTTCTAATTCTTACAACATCACTAATGTGAAAATATGTTTAATAGGAATGTATATGTATAGCCTATATAAGATTGTGCATCGTCTTGGGGAAGGTGGTGGGGAGAGAGGGGAGAAAAATTTTAAACTCAAAAGCATATGGAAGTGATTGTTGATAAATCAAAATAAATTAATTTTTAAAAAAAGGATAAAGTCTGTGCTTAAAGTGATCCATATGGCAGAGCCAGGAAAACAATGCACACAGTGACTTTTGTTGTTGACGATGTTCAGGCATTTCAGTCACATTTGACTCTTCATGACCCCATGTCGGGTTTTCTTGGCAAGACACTGGAGTGGGTGGCCATTTCCTTCCCTAGCTCACTTTACAGATGAAGAAGCTAAGGCAAACAGGGTGAAGTGACTTGCCCAGGGTCACACAGCTATTCAGTGTCTGAGGCCAGATCTGAGTTCGGGTCCTCCTGACTCCAGGCCCAGGGCTCTACCCACTGCCCCCACACAATGACTACAAAAATGTAATTGGAAAGAACAAAAAACAAGCCCGACTGCTGCATGATTATAACGAACACCAAATCCAGTGTTCCTCGGCCCTTTCTGAAGTCACACTGGCTCTCAGGTGGGTGACCATCTTCCAGGTGGAGGACCAGCCTCTTATGGAGGGCTCTGGCAGGAATCTTGCCAGCAATGACTAAGAGAGAGACCCCTTGTGATGGTCACAGGACAATCTATTTCCTTTACCTTTATCAAGATGGACAAGGGAGGCATCCTTGAACTCCTGGGGGACAATCTCCTCTTGCCATATAACCTGGAAAATCTCCCCTTTTGTATGAGCGACGGATTCCCTGCCTTGTAAATCTCAGCTGGAATAGAATCAGCACCAGGTGCTCTGCCACATGAGAGGAGCCTAATGGCATTGAAAACCTCTTCTGCAGTTGGAACTTCAGCCAGGGAGGGATTGACTTCAACCTGAGGTAAATGGTCAATGGCTTCAGCACTGATTGATGATGGTCTGTTGAGAACACTAGGGAAGTGTTCAGCCCATCTCTCTAGGGTCATGTCCTTATCATTAATCAACGTGGCTCCACCAGAACTGAGTAGCTGAGATGCAGTGTATGTCTTTGGCCCATAAATAGCCTTCAGGGCATCATAAAAGTTCTTTGGATTGTTATTATCAGCATAAAACTGAATCTCACCTGCCTTCCTACTGAGCCAAGAATCCTGCATCTCTCTAAGCTTTGCTTGCACTTTACTTTTGTTTTTTTGGTTAGGCAATGGGGTTAAATGACTTGCCCAGGGTCACACAGCTAATAAGTGTTATGTGTCTGAGGCCAGATTTGAACTCAGGTCCTCCTGAATCCAGGGCCAGTGCTCTATCCACTGTGCCACCTAGCTGCCCCTGCACTTTACTTTTGATGGAATTAAATGCTGCCTTCTTAGAGATGAATAACTACCCTGCTGGAGTTCTTGTTTTTCATTTAGCAGCTTCTGAATTTCCCTATCATTTTTGTAAAAACCAATCTTGATGTTTGTGAGTGTTCTGACCCCATTGGGTAAATGCAGTGCTGTACGCCAAATCTCTGAAAGCTGCCCACTCCTTTTCTGCTCCACTGTTTTCTGCTGTGTGTTGGCTCAACTTTCCCTCCAAGTTAGCAACAAAGTGTTCATACTTGAAGTGCTAATCTCTTGACATTACGTCATCTTGCCTTTGGGCTTCCACTTTTGTTGACTGTAAATATTTAGGCTACAGAGGCCAAGTTTCCGATCAGTCCCGCACTTGGTGTCACATATCACCTTTGCCACTCTCACATCCTGTCTGTCTCTTCTCCTTACAATCACATAGTTCATTAAATGCCAGTGTTTGCTGTGAAGGTGCATCCACAGTTTTGCTGCATTTAAGTATCCTGTGAAAAATGTGGAACTTTGCTATATGACTGGCTCTTCCAAGATAAAGGCTAACCATGGCTCTTACCTGGAATCAAAGTTGAAGAAGCTCTATTCTGTTACGTTTATGTCAGGTCAGTCTGTGCCCTTTACAGTAGAATCTTAATATCATTATAATCATTTCCCTTCCTAGCAAGCGTATTTAACGAGGGAAGGTGAATTGTAAAAGTATGTGTATGTGTGTGAGTAGTGTGTGTATACACACACACATACACACATACGTGATCAATCCTGCTGTTGCAATACTCAACATCTCTGAGTTATTATAATGGGGTGCAAGTGTGAAAGACCTATTTTTACTCTAAGTATTCTAAATTTGTTGTCACTAATAGTTATATATTCATGTATAAGATTAAGTCCGTAAAGTATCTCATTCTTTTTGGACAATTTGAGGATAACGTTGTTCAGACGTTTTTCAGAAACGTCCAACTCTTTATGACCCCATTGGAGATTTTTTTTTGGCAAAGATACTGGAGTGGTTTGCCATTTCCTTCTCCAGCTCATTTTACAGATGAAGAAACTGAGGAAAACAGAGTTAAGTGACTTGCTCAGGGTCAGACAGCTAGTAAGTGTGTAAGGCCAGATTTGAACTCAGGTCTTCATGATGCTACCCTTGAAGCTCTATCCACTACATACCTAGATGCCCCAATATATATCCTCAATGTGAGGATAGGACAATTAGAACTAAAATGTGATGTGATGAAGATGTGAAAGTTTTAAATTTTAATTGAGTAGTAAACTTCACTCTGAGAAAAGCAACAAAACTGTTTTCTCTAAGAACTAAGATTTTATATTTTTATACACACACATATTTATGTGTATTTGTATATGATTGGCTTTCAAAGGTTTCTACCAAAAACAATGACAAAAAGACAAGTATAAGATTAGCTTCATAATTGAACTGGTTTGCACCACATGAACTAGTTACTAGAAAACCAAATTTAAGAGGAACATCCTTCTAGAACGGCCTTGGAAATGAGGCCTATTCCAGAAATTCCAAGGGAAAATGTTTCCAAGTATCAGACAGCTACATGCCACAGTTAAGACTCAAGATGAAATAAGTTGATTAAATGTAGTTTAATCTGTAACCTGATGCAGTTTACCTACAGAGCCTGTTTAACTAGGTTTGTTTCCTTAAGAGATGTATGAGGTTATGACTTGAAGTTTGTTCAACTTTTATGACACTGAAGGAAGCATAAGACTGTGAATCTCTCTATTTTTTAACTTCTGCGCTATTTGTGTCTGTATGTGTCCTTTCAATGTCTGGGAAATCTCCTCGTGCTGTGTAGCACACTTGTTTCCTGGTCCAACTCTCAGTCCCCTGACCCAATGGGATCCCTCTGACCAGGGCTTGCCACCACTATCCTCAGGAAATTCTATCCAGCTCTTGAGGAGATGAGCGGTTATGGGGCCCCTTCCCTGACAAGGGTTGTTTTTAAGCCTTAGCCCAGCTCTCCTCATCTATGATGGTGCTTCTGCTACCTTAGGGCTTTAACCGCAACAGAGGAAACTGAAGGAAAACTGGACAACACAGGTGGAATCTGGCCCTGTGCAGCTGGGAAACAGACCCACTGCTCAGAGATCAGATTTATTTAAGGTTGAAATCAGGACTGAGGTTATGCTGACCAGAAACCCAGTCAGACCCCAACTGATTGATGGGAGTTTTCTCCCATCATACGCCTTATGTGTCTCATCTGGAAACTGCCTCCATGCTGGTCAATCGGCTACTATTTCCTTGTTACTTTGTCTGAACCCTATAAAATGTGTAACTTACAGGCAATGGGGTGAGTGGGCCACCCCCTTTTCAGCTCTCCCCTCTGCTGGACAACTTTCTAAATTATTCCAATTCTGGATTTTGTTCTCTGCCACATCATGACTCTTTTAGGTGAATGGATTGTGGCATTCATTTTTGAAAGAAATGATTATTTCTCTCATATTAATAGCCAATTATTAAAAGTGGGGAGACCTCAGCTTTTTTCCCTTCTGTTCTATTACCTTGTCCAATCTCTCAAGGACAGGGTTGATGGAAGATGGGATTGACCTTCTCCTCATTCTAGGGATTGCTACTCCACCCAACTAGCTCAGGTTTGGGTGGAAGATATAGATTCTTTGTCTAGACTACCCAGGGCTGGGGGTGATCTGATTATAGGAATAGTCTCTCTGGCCAAGAGTGACATGATGTCACTCTCAGCCCCTCACTGGAGTGAGCTCACTTCTCTTTGCAAAGTCACCAGAGCTGACTGCCAATCTCAAGAACGCTCCTCTTCCAAAGGGTATATGAACTGTGATTCCACTGTCATGATTGCCTTTGGCACTCAAGAGGGCCACTGATCTTTTATTAAAATGCTGGCATTATTAATAAAATGATTAAATTACCCAGAAATTATTTCTCTCAATCTTTTTAAATGCCACATTTTTGCATATAAAATGATGATTGTCCAGCTTGTATTTTCCTCCATTTAGTATTGATTTTTTTTTTCAGTTCCCTTCTTTTAGGCCAACACTGTCCCTACAATTAATTTTGCTCAAGTGAAAATGAAAATATTAGAATGATGACAAAGCCAAACTGGAATCCTGTGAAATGGAACCATGGCTGGCCCCTGGGAAGAGACGTAAGAATGTGCCTCTCTCCCTTTTGGGCAGAGGCTGGGGGTGGTAGGTAGGAGAAACTTCACAGAGCACTGGTCAGTTCTGCTGGACTGGTTTTTCTTCTGTCTCATTCTTTGTTCCAGATCCAGGAAAGGCATAGCTCCTCTGTCCTCTGCCCTGGTCAGGTCCTATCTAAAGGCCTGGGTTCGGTTCTGGAGGCCACAAATTTGGAAGGGTTGCTGGACAGCTCCCTCAGGTGGGTAAGGAGGATGAAGAAATGGGGCCGTGGAGCCTTGGGAGTAAAAGACAAGACAAGGGGGGTGACAGGCGTCCTTAGGGATACGAGGGCCATCACAAGGAAGAGGGGGCAAACTTTGCTCTCTTGTCATTGAAGGCAAACAATATGGGAGGTGGGCGGTAATTGCAAGGAAGCCAGTTTCATCCTGATGCTCGGGGAATCTCTGAATAATCACCGTTACACAGAAGTGGAAAGGGCTCCAGGGAGGTGCAGGAACTCTCTTCTTCATAAGTCTTCAAGCAGAGACTCTCGACTTGGAGTCGCAAAGACCCGAGTTCAAGCCCAACCTCAAACACTTACTAGCAAATGATTTAGCCTATGCTGGCCTCAGTTTCTTCAACTATAAAATGGGAATGATAATAGCTCTTACTTCTCAGGTTGTTGTGAGGATCAAAGGTGACCATGTTTGTAAAGTGCTTAGCACCACAGCTGGCACACAGGAGGCGCTACATAAATGGGTGTTCACTCCCGTACCCAGCGGTTCTCACTCCTATCGTCATTATTATTGTCCATGGTGCTGCAGCAGGAATTCTTTGTCAGGGATGAGAAGGACCAGATGGTTACGGAGTTTCTCTCAAACTAAAATGGGTGGACTCTGGAAGAGAGAGTGAGGCGGATGACGTCGTGCACCTCTGCCTCACTGAAATCCAACTTACGCACGAATCACAGGACATCACCCGGACCATTGTACCACTGTATCTGTCTCAAAGACCTGAGGCGACAGGCAAGTGACGAAGCAGCAGGTGCGGACACACTGGGAGCTACAGTCACAACCCTGCACCCAGGCGGCCCAGGCGGCCCAGGCCATAGGGTCGTCTTCTCACAGCAGCAGTGGGACTCAGCAGCTCCCTGGGTGTCTGGGCAGCCTTACTCACACCCTGGTGTGAGGAAGGGGCTAGAAAAGGTGCTCTAAAAATTGTCTGCTCACCCAACCCTGCCCTGATTACCATGGCAGGCGAGGATCCCACCATGTGGTCAAAACACAAAAAAAAGCACAAAAACTTCTGCAAGGATGATTCTACTCACCATTGGTGCTTGGAATGGATGACGGCACCCTTATGGACAACATGAAATCCAGCAGACCTGAAAGACAAGCAGCTCTTGTTGTGAGAGAACTCAACAGGGATCACAGCCAAACATCAGCCCCGAGTGAAACAAGGCTGGCAAATGAAGGCCAGCTTCCTGAAGCTGGAGCTTGATGACACATTTTTCTGGAGTGGCCACAGTGAAGGGGAACGTCATGAAGCTGATGTAGGTTTTTCAATCAAAACTAATCTAGTCAACAAACTCGTATGCCTACCAAAGGAGTGAAAAAGAGACTCATTGGCGCAGTGGATAGAGCACCGGCCCTGAAGTCAGGAGGACCTGAGTTCAAATCCAGCCTCAGACACATAACACTCACTGTGTGACCCTGGGCAAGTCACTTAACCCCAATTGCCTAAAAATTAAATTAAAAAAAAAAAAAGAAAGAGAGACTCATGACAATACAATTGCCACTTGCAGGAAAACATCACGCCACCATCAGTGCCTGTGCTCCCACCACGACGAACCCTGATGTAGTTAAAGAAAAATTTTATAAAGACCTGGAGACCCTCATCATCAATGTGCCAAAAGAGGACAAGCTTATAATTCTGGGGGACTTTAATGCTAGAGTAGGCTCAGACTACTAGACATGGCAGGAAGTACTTGGAAGGAATGGAGCTGGAAACAGCAACAGCAATGGTCACTTACTACTGAAGACTTGTGCATCTCATGACCTTCTCATCACCAACACTGTCTTCTGTTTACCTAAATGCAATTAAACTTTGTGGATGAACCCTCACAGAAAACGTTGGCATTTAATAGACTATGTGATTGTAAGGAGAAGAGGCAGACTGAATGTGAGAGTGACAAAGGCAATGTGTAGTACAGAGTGCTGGACTGATCATAGACTTATCCTCTTCAAGCTAAATATTCACATGCAACAAAAATGGCAGCCCCAAGGCAAAAAGACTAGCAGTAGAATTAATGTCGATAGATTAGAGTGCTTCTCCCTGTGTGAACAGTTTCTTGCTAATGTGGAGAGAAAGCTGAGCCAACACACAGATGAGAATAGTGGAGCAGAAAAGGAGTGGGCAGCTTTCAGAGACTTGGTGTACAGCACCGCATTTGCTCATCCGGGCCAGAACACTTGCAAACACCAAGATCGGTTTGATGAAAATGATGTGGAAATTCAGAAGCTGATAAATGAAAATCAAGAACTCCACAGAGATTACCAGCAGGGTAGTTCGTCAGTCTCTAAGAAGGCAGCATTTAATTTCATCAAAAGTAAAGTGCAAGCAAAGCTTGGAGAGATGCAGGATTCCTGGCTCAGTAAGAAGGCAGGTGAGATTCAGTTTTACATTAACAGTAACAATCCAAATTGCTTTATGATGCCCTGAAGACTATTTATGGGCCAAAGACATACACTGCATCTCAGCTACTCAGTGCTGGTCGAGCCACATTGATTAGTGATAAGGGCATGATCCTGGAGAGATGGGCTGAACACTTCCATAGTGTTCTCAACTGACCATCATCAATCAGTGCTGAAACCAATGACCATTTACCTCAAATTGAATTCAATCCCTCCCTAGCTGATGTTCTAACTGACAAAGAGGTTTTGAGTGTCATTAGGCTCTGTTTGTGTGGCAAAGTATGTGGTGCTGATTTTATTCGAGCTGAGATTTACATGGTAGGGGATGCATTGCTCACATAAAAGCTAACTGAAATTTTCCAGGTTATATGGCAAGAGGAGGTTATCCCTCAGGAGTTCAAGGATGCCTCCATTGTCTATCTCTATAAAGGTAAAGGAAATAGATTGTCCTGTGACAATCACAGGGATGTCTCTCTCTTAGTCATTGCTGGTAAGATTCTTGCCAGAGTCCTCCTAATAGACTGATCCTTCACCTGAAGGATGGTCATCTACCTGAGAACCAATGTGGCTTCAGAAAGGGCCCAGGAACAGTCGATATGGTGTTTGCTTGGGAAAAAGCAGGGCAACATTGGGGGCAGGGCGGAAGGCTCAACTCCAGGAAAAATGCCAAGAGTAGAACAGAGGTCTGTATACAATGTGTGTAGATCTGACCAAGGCCTTTGATATTGTCAGTCATGAGGGCTTGTAGAAAATTATGTCAGGCAGCTAGGTAGCGCAGTGGATAGAGCTCCAGCCTTGGAGTCAGGAGGACCTGAGTTCAAATCTGGCGTCAGACACATGACACTTACTAGCTGTGTGACCCTGGGCAGGTCACTTAACCCCAACTGCCTCACCAAAAAGACAAAAAGAAGAAAATTATGTCAAAATGTGGTTGCCCAGCATTGTATGTCAATTTCATGATGACCCACTTGCTCACAGACGATGCTCTCGAGCTTTCCCAGTCACCAGGGGAGTGAAACAAGGCCGGGTGCTTGTTTCCACGCTTTTAAGCACGATGTTTTCAGCTATGTTGTCAAATGCTTTCAATGAGGATGAACACGGCATCAAAGTCAGCTACCACACTGATGGTAAATTCTTCAACTTGAAAAGACTACAAGCCAAGACTAAAGTGGAGGGAGTATTGGGGCATGATTTTCCGTTTGCAGATGATTATGCACTCAATGCAGCTTGTGAAGCTGAAATGCAACAAGGTATGGATCAATTCTCTGCTGCTTGTGCTAATTTTGGCCTAATAATAAACACCAAGAAAACACAGGTGCTCCACCACCCAGCACCACACCTATCCTGTGGATAAGTTCACTTACCTTGGCAGTGTACTTTCCAGGGACCAACACATTGATAATAAGGTTGATGAATGCATTGCCAGAGCTGGCTCAGTGTTTGGAAGGCTCCAAAGGAAAGTGTGTGAGAGAAGAGGTATTAGACTGACTGCCAGACTGAAGGTCTACAGAGCTGCTGTGCTGACCTCCTTGTTGTACGCCTGAGAAACCTGGATGGCTCCATGCCAGGAAACTGAATCGCTTCCATTTGAATTATTTTAGGAAGATTCTGACAATTGGCTGGCAGGAGAAGGTATCAGACACTGAGGTCCTTTCTGGAACTAAACTGCCAAGCATTCAACCTCTACTTCAGGAAGCGCAATTGATGGGCTGGCTACGTTGTTCAAATGCAAAACGTATGCTTGCCAAAGAGACTATTCTATGGAGAACTCACACAGAGCAAGAGTTCACATGGTGGTCAGAAGAGGCGATACGAGGACACTCTCAAAATCTCTCTTAAGAACTGTGGAAGTGATTGTGTGACAAGGGAGATGCTGGCACAGGACCGCTCAGCATGGCATGCCCACATCAGAGGAGATGCTGCGCTCTATAAGCAAGGCAGAACTGAAACAGCTCCAGAGAAATGCAAGATACGCAGACATGGAGAATCCACCCCAGAGGTTCACACAGACTGTTTGTGCCCGACCTGGGGTAGAACATTCCGAGCTCCTGTAGGCTGGTTAGCCACAGTCGGACACACGGAAACTCGACTCTAGAATAGTGAGGTCATTTTGGTCCTCCTCGAGAACGAAGGACAACAACCAACCAAAATGCTGCAAGTCTGATGAGCGGAGCAGCCACGAGGCAGGCTGGAGAAAAAGCAGGGCAACGTTGGGGGCGGGGGGGAGGGCTCATTCCAGGCAGTACTGCTGGGGAAGGGGGGGAGGGAGGGACGAAGGGAAGGTGGAAGGAAGCAGGAAAGATTATTTAAGCACCTCCTCTGTGCCAGGGACTGTGCTAAGTGCTTTACAAATACTCCTGGGGGCTGGGTACCATTATTATCCCCATTTTACAGGTGAGGAAACTGAGGCAAACAGGTTCTGTGACTTGCCCAAGGTCATAGCTTGAAACTGTCTGAGGTCAGATGTGAACTCAGGTCTTCCTGACTCCAGGCCCCGCACTCTGTGCCCTGTGGCACCCCATAGCAGCCTCTACAGGACCATCACATAGGTAACATGGGGCGATATAGACAAATACATTGAAACTTGAAAGGATGAAGGCTGCAGATTAACAGTAGCAGATAGACAGTGACAGTGAGTGAGGAGCTCTCCCTGTTGGCCCCGTGTCCAGGAGGCAGAGAGGGGAGCAAGTACATGGGGTCTGGTTTCCAGGAGCACCTGAAGGGACATGAGGCAGGGAGGAGGACCGCCAAAAAGTACAGGCCCTCGAGGGAGTTGGAGACAGGGACATCAAAAATCCATACCTTCTGTGACGGCTCAGGACAGAGGTGAGCACGGAGGGAATGTGGGTGATGGCTCAGAGGGGAAGGGTCTTCATCTCAGAAGACGCGACTGAAACACTGGGATATGGGGAACAAGAGTGTACCAGTCTCAGGTCATGGATGGCCCCTCACCTAGGCACCCACCTTCCAGGCTCCTGGCATGACTAACACGGCTTTGGTCCTGGGATGTGGGCGTCAGTGACTGCAGCCAGAAGGCGGCATGGACCCCAGCTGCATGCCGGTCTCTGCCACTCCCTGGTGATCCCTGCTCTGGGTTCCAGAGGTTCTGGGGCTTTATGCCAAGGTGGCACATTTGAAGGATGCCCCGCTGGAGGGGCAAGCACTTTGTTCCCTCAAGTAGAGGCCATGAACGTTGCTGGCTGCCTGAAGAGGCTCAGTAACTCTGGTGGATGTCAGTCCTCAAGGGGCCCTGCTCCTGGGCCTCAGTGATTCTCCCTGAACATGAAAGAGTGTACTTTCCACCAGACACGTGGGGCTACCATCTTTAAAACCTCAGTGCTGAGTTCACAGCTTAGCCCTGAATCTGTCAGTTTATGTGAGGAAAGGATTCTGGCTAACATGATCCATGACGTCAGTAGTAGCCTTCAGAATGGCCAGATCCTTCTGGGGTAGAGTAACAGAGCCTCGGTGCTGGACGGGGGCCTGGGTGACAAGATCAAGGTCCAAAGAAATGTTTCTGTGCTCTGAGAAGGCAAGAACTCACCTGGGGCCTGGCTGTCAGCAGCTCAGAGGTGATTTCTTCCTCCTCTTCCTCCTCCATGCTCCAGCTTGGGGAAAGGCAGCGGCTAGCGAATCTGGTGGGGGGGGGGGGGAGAGAACGACCAAAGAAGAGTCATGAGGGAGACCAAGGATGGCTTGGAGCTCCCCAGGCCCCAGGGTCACCCCCTTGCAACACCTCTTGCCCATTTCACCTCTGAAACATCCCTTGTCCACTTCACCACCCCCGCCCCCATCATCTTTTGTCCATTTCACCTCTACAACACCTCTTGCCCATTTCACCTCTGAAGCATCCCTGGTCCATTTCACCCCCACCCCACATCATCTTTTGTCCATTTCACCTCTACAACACCTCTTGTCCAACACATCCTTGGTCCACTTCACATACACCCCCACCCCTTACATCATCTTTCGTCCATTTCACCTCTGCAACACCTCTTGCCCATTTCACCTCTGAAACATCCCTGGTCCATTTCACCCCCCCCCCTTACATCATCTTTTGTCCATTTCACTCTCCCCCTTTTGCCACATCTCTTGTCCATTTCACCCCTGCAACATCTCTCCAATAGCCCTCCTCTCCTCTGACACTGCCCCCACACTGGTACAGGGAATCATCATCTCACACCTGGACTATGGCAATGGCTGCTGACGGGTCTGCCTGCCTCAAGTCTCTCCCCATTCCAGTCCATCCTCCATTCATGGACCAAAGAGACTTAACTAAAGTGCAGGTCTGACCATATCACCCCCTACTCAATAAACTCCTATGGCTCACTATCACCTCCAGAATCCAATATAAAATCCTCTTCTTGGCATTCAAAGCCCTGCAAAACCTGGCCCCCTCCCATCTTTTCTGGCTGTTCCATGAACAAGACCCTCCAAATCTCTGCTCTGGGCATTTCTCAGGCCGCCCCCATGCCTGAAACACTCTCTCTCTCCTCTACTCTGACTCCTGACCTCCCCTGGCTTTTCCTTCTTCATGAGGCTGGTGCCTTCCCTCTGTTGTTTCCAATTTAGCCTGTCTCCATTTTGTTTGTACTCAGTTGTTTACTTGACATCTCCTTTACTAGGTTGTGAGCTCCTCCAGGGCAGGGACTTTCACCTCTTTGAATCCCCAGCACTTACCATAGTGTCCAGTAAACAGCAGGCACTTAATAAATGCTTACTGATAGACTGACTTTCTGAATTCACTAGACAAAGTTCTTTGCCTGCTATAAGACAATGTTTAACCAGTGAACCCTGGAGGCACAAATCACATAAAATAACATCACTGTTATTTCTATTTCGGGATGCACAGTAGGGCTAGCTTCAAACTCCAGTGAGCAAGAGGTGGGCATGGCTCAGGTGAGATTCCATGATAGAAGTCTCAGCTCTCAACTGGAACCAATAATGAGCTGAATTCCTGCCAGCTCCTCTGTCTCTGGAGTGTAGCCCTTTGTGGTCATTCAGTTCAAAATACCTGCATTAAGTGCCTACTATGTGCAAGGAACTGGTGCAAGGAGGGATACAGAGGGATACAGAGAAAACAATGAATCCAGGCTGGCAGAGGCCAAGAGAGGAGCACAGGTAAGTGAATACAAAGGCCCGGGCCCCACCCCTACCCCCTGCGACTGGGAATGGGGAAGTGGGGGGTTATTGCTGTACAGAGGCCTGGCCTCAGGAGTCTGGAAAACCTGGTTTCAAGCTGAGCCCCTGACATGTGGTGGCTACCCGCAAACCATTTACAGCCCAGCCCAAGCCCTTCCCCACAGGTGAATCTGCAAGCCTGTAAACCAGAGGGGCGCCAGCCCCCACTGGCAGCTCAATGAAATCACAGGCCAGACCCCAAGCTAAAGAAGGAGCTGGGTGGAGGGAAGCGGGTGTACAGCAGAAAGTTTGGTCCAAGACGGGAAGGGCACCCAAGGGAAGCCTTGGAAGAACTTTGGGAAGCTAAAGCAGAGTAATGAGGAGGGATGGCAGGGGAAGGAACAGCCTGTGCAAAAGTCTGGAGGCTGGAGATGACTCCAGAGTTGGGAACACAGAACCGCTCCAGAACACAGGAGGAGCCAGGAGGCTGCAGTCTGATCACGGGGGCTGGTTCCAGCGCCAGCAAGGCTGGCACAACCCTCTGGGCTGGGGACCGCCTTCTGGGATGTCCTCAGGCAGGCCATCCCCCACTGGGCCTCAGTTTCCTCGTCTGTAAGGGAGGCCGCTGGGCTGGGTGCTTGAGGGGATCGTCTCCAATTCTGGACCTGGCCCAGGCTCTCGGGGAGGTAACTGGGAGCCGCTGAAGGTTCTTGAGCAGGGACATGTGGTCGGAGTCCTGCGCTCCCTGCCCCGGGAACAACCCCCATTCTGCCCCATCCACGCTCACCCCCGAGAACACTCACCTCCCCTGGGCGATGCCACAATCTCACCTGGACTCAGGCAGGGTGAGTGTGGCACATGCGCACTCCCTCCTTGGGGGACCTGGCAGATTGCACTGCACAGCCCGCAGCAAAGCTTCCAAGGCAGGACCTATGAAAAGTGCGCCTGCGCACAGGGAGCCCGCCCAGCCCCAGGATGCACGGGGATAAGCAAGCCAGGCCCTCCAGGCCGCGCTCCGCACCTGCGCACTCCCTCCCTCGCGATGGTCTCTCCGCAACCCAACTCCTGTACTACCATTCCCAGAAGGCACCGCGACATAGGATGGTAGGGCGTGATGCTGAGGCACGCCAAGGGAATCCTGGGAAATGAAGTCTTCTCTGTTTCTCCCCACACCCACCGAGACTCTGAGCCAGAGCCTGGGTCCTTCCTCATTTCAGCACCAGATGGCGAGTGTAGCTTAACTCTTCTTCCCCCCCACTTTCTAAACATGTATTATTCATATTTTTTAACATTCTTTTCTTTTTAGATTTTCAGCTCCAGATTCTCTCCCTCCCACCTCTCCCCCACTCACTGCGTAGGCAAACAATATCTCAAATCGAGCTGCAGATTAGCGATGTCCCAGAAGACAAAGAGAGGGAGGAAATCCTGCTTGACTTTGCAGTCGGAGTTGGCCAGCGCTGTCTCTGGAGGGGATCGCGTTTTCGGTCGTAAATCCTTTGGAATTGTCATGGTTCACTGCACTGATCCGCGCAGCCCAATCTTTCACAAAGCTGATCATCTTGACAATGTCGCTTTTACCGGGTACAAGTTCTCCTGGTTCTTCTCACTTCGTCTTGCATCGGTTCATCGACGTCTTGCCTTGTTGTTTCTGAATGGTCTGGGTGATTCTTTTGATTCGTAGACCGGATTTAAGTAAGGTAGTTATCACTGTCTCTCCCGGAGTCCTCCCAATCCAGTGGCAGGGCAGAGTCCAGACCACTGGTAATGGCCTGGGATGCAGGGGGTGACCTTGGAGTCTTCGATGTCTAACCAGGCTCTAGGGCAGCACAGCGCCTGCTTCAGCCGCCTTTGTGGCCGTTGGAACAAATTGTTCTCATCTGCCCATTCCACCAGGGAAGTCTTCACCTGCTTGGGGTAGGAGCCCCCCCACTCACCACCCTGTCTGAGACCCCTCAGTTACCCTCAACCTGGTTTAGCTTGTCTGCTGAAACGTTTCCCAGGGTGTGGCCGCTGCACGTGACAGCTTCTTGGAGCCACAGGTGAAAGCTCGGTGGATCAGGTGGACACCAGACGTGGAAAGCAGCCCTGACAAGGGCTTACCATGGTGGTGTCCTTTAAAGCGATGTACACACTGATGATGAGGTTGACGCAGGCTTTGTCAGGGCTAACAGTTTGGGAGGCTCTGAAGAAAACTGTGGGAGAGAAAAGGTATTAGACTGAGTCCCAAACTGAAGATCTACAGAGCCTTTTTGCTGACCTCGTTGTTGTATTTCTGTCAAACCTGAACGGTCTACCAGCGCCATGGCAGGAAACTAAATTGCTTCCATTTGAATTGTCTTAGGAAGATTCTGAAAATCACCTGGCAGGATGAGGTACCAGACGCGAGGTCCTGTCTCTACTAAAGTGCCAAGCATCCAGACTCTGCTTCAGAGAGTGCAACTCGGATGGGCTGGCCAGTGTTTGAATGCCAAACATATGCATGCCAAAAAGACTATTTTATGGAGAACTCCCTCTGGGCAAGTGTGAAGAAGCAATACAAGGACACTCTCAAGGTCTCTCTTAAGAACTTTGGAATTAATTTCGAGACATGGGAGTCACTGGCACAGGACCTCCCAGCATGGAGTGCCCTCATCAGAGAAGGTGCAGTGCTCTACAAGCAAAGCAAAACTGAAGTAGCTCAAAAGAAACTTGAGATGCCCAGATTTAGAGACTCCAACCCTAATGTTTGCATAATCTATTTGTGCCCGACCTGTGGTAGTACATTCCCAGCTCATATTGGTCTGAGGTCTGATCATCCCCAGTCAGATGCACTGGAACTTGACTCTAACACAGTGTTGTCACTTTGGTCCTTTTGGAGAATGAAGGACAACAATGTTATTCTGAAACCACTGCCTTTGTCATTTTTTTTTTATATTACAGTAGTATTCCATCACATTCATATGCCACAGTTTGTTTAGCCATTCCCCAACTGAAGGAGGATCTGAGGCCAGAGGCACTATCCCCCACATCCCAGGACTAGAGCTAATTACAAAAAATAAATAAATAAATAAACTGCTACAAATTTAAAAAATGAGCAGGCAAAGGAGAATGAATCCAACCATAGAAAGTTTACCACGGGAATAGAAAAGACTGGGGTCCATCTTCAGAGGAGGCTACTGAAGCAAATAAACCCTCTACTACCCCCAAAGAGTAATGTCAAATGGTCACCTGCGCAAAAAGAATTCACAGAAAAACTTTAAAAAGACTTTAAAAATCAAATGAGAGAGATTGAGGAAAAACTAAAAAAAAAAAAAAGAACAATCCAAGAAAAACATGATTATGAAAAGAAATTCAACCAATTAGAAAAGGAGATCCAGAATCTTAAGGAAGAAAATTACTCCTTGAAAATCAGAATTGGGCAACGGGAAGCCACTGAAGTCATGAGAGACCAAGAAATAATAAAAAATATAAAGAATGAAAAAAATAGAAGAAAATGTGAAACATCTCATAAGAAAAACAGCTAATCTGGAGAACAGATAAAGAGGAGAAAAACATAAAAATAATCAGACTAAGTGAAGGCTATGGTCAAAAAAAGAATCTTGATACAATAATACAAGAAATAATTAAAGAAAATTGTCCTGAAGCATTAGAACAAGAGGAGAAAGTAGAAATAGAAAAAATCCATCGATCACCACCTGAAAGAGATCTTAGAAGGAAAACTCACAGGAATATCTCAGCCGAATTCCAAAACCCCCAGCTCAAGGATAAAATATTATGAACAAGAAAAAAACAATTTAAATATGATGGTACCACAATTAGAATCACACAAGACCTACCAGCAGCAACACTGAGAGACTGCAGGTCTTGGAACACTCTATCTTGAAGAGCAAAAGAAATGAGGTTCCAGTCAAAAATATCAAACCCAGCAAAGCTAGGCATAATCCTGGATGAAAATAAAATGGCCATTTAATGAATTGTTATACTTTCCGGATTTTATTTAAAAAAAAAAAAAAAAAAACACCTGAACTTAATAGATTTGACATATAAGAGCCAAGAGAAATATGTGGTACATACCAAAGACAAGGGACTCCATAAGGACAGACTATTTACCTTTTGTAAGAGGAAATGTAAAGCGTGTGTCTGAGATTGCTGTTGGTAATTGGGTAGTTCATAAGAAAGACTGGGGTAGACCTGAGTATTTTAAAAGTAAAACCATTTAGGAATAGCTAAAAGAGTAATTCTCTTATACAAATGAGGTGGGAGAGGAAGTAGTAACACAGAGGAATTAGATGGGGTGGAGGGCTGGTAGTTCTGGAAGCCTATCTTCATCAGGACTGGGTCCAAGAGGGAACAATACAAATACATCTAGAAGAGTATAAAAGTCTCCTAAATTCAGAAAGAAATATACCGCTAAGGGGATGAGGGGGAGAGGATAAGGGAGAGATCTTTATAGGAGAAGGTGAGGGAATAGGTTAAAGTGGGGTATAGAAGGGGTGTAATGGGAATGGGAGGATAAGGGAGGGTTCCTTGGAGGTGAAGTAGGTTAAATAATAGGAGGGCAGGGTAGTGGGTAGAAGTAAAGTAGAGGAATTAGGAGGGATAGGAAATGAGAGATAAAATATAAGAGACAAATATAAAATAAAGTTCAGGAGTAGAATTTGCTAGGGAAAAATGAGCAGGGGTGATAGTCATGATCTTGGACAGAGTTAAGGCTAAGCTAGATTTAATCAAAAGAGAAAAATAGGGAAGCTACGCTATGTGTCAGTCATATTCATCAACATTGTTTTGGATTATTTAAAATAACTAGACACTATAAAGTGGGAATATTGCTGTGGTGTAGGAAATGCTTGGAAAAATATAGAAAGACTTAGACTTATAAAGTAAGAGGTTATTCACCCTCAGAGAAACAGAGGACAAATAAGTACAATATGGTCTTACATAGATGCATATGAATGTATATTTCTATATGAGTATGATTCTAAATATCTAAGTATATGTATGTGTATGTAAGTGTATGTACAGGTATATGAATGTATATGTCTTTGTGTGTGTGTGTGTCTATGTATATACATATTTACACACATACATACATACATATGTGTGCATGTATGTATATATCCATGCTTAATTGTAGCCTTTGGGAGGGGGAAGAGGAAATGGGAAAAAAGAACAAAGTCTAAAGTGCACAGCAGAGAACAAAAGAAGACTTAACAAGGAAGCAAAGAAAAGATGGATAGCTCTCAACACAACACATAGTATTTATTATCTAGGCTTTCCTGAAATGCAAATTTATTGCTGGATGTTTTGAATCCTCTCTCATGTTCTGCTGTGCACATGGCAACATTTTTTTCTTTTCTTATTTTGTATTTAAGTTTCAATATTTAATGTTTTTAATGTTTCTTTTTCTTAAGTTTTAGTATTTATGTCTAAAACGAACTAAAAAAAAGAAAATTTTAACAATCAAAAAGACTAAACAAACAAAAGATAATAAAGTTGGGTTCTGCTCCCCTTAGGGTGGGGAAGCACTGTGCCAAGCTTCAGACATTTTTGTGCTGTTCTTTTCAAAGCTAGTTCTGGGGTCGGTGAGTTTTTGGTGCCTCTAAAGGTGGTGTTACCCTGGGAGAGGTGTGGTCAATGCCTTCCGGAGTCTGTGCTCTGGTCTTTACCCAGGGAGGGCCTCTGCTTTGCTGCAGACACGAGCATTCACACTTCCTTTGGCCCTGAAGCTGTGGCTAGGGCCCTTGCTCCTTGGTGCCCCATCGTAAGCGACCCTCTCCAACCTGGAACAGAACTGCATATGGGCAAGAGAGTTGCCAGCCAGTGCCAGCTGCACCCAGTGCCAGTAAAGCGCCGCCTGTAATCTCTCTCCGACCCACCCCCTTACTGCCCTTGGGCTGAGAGCTCCTGAAGCTGCTGCTGCCATGGTCACTGCCGTGTTCCAGGCCTTGGTCCAC